TTTGCTTTCAAAAATCTAGTTTTATGAGGGTAGAGACTTACTTTGTTGTGTTAGAAATGAGAAATTATTCTAAATATGTTATTAACTGTATGTGGGAGACATACAATTTACCTGTGACTTCTGGTAAGATATCAGGGGATGTTGATGAACCCTGGACATACTCTTCAGCAATGCACATATACGTACAAATATAGGAAAATACCATGCTGTTTATAGGAGTTTTGAACCTCAGAACCATCCCGTTGCTCTGCCGTGGTTTGTTTGTTTATTTATTTATTTATTTATTGAGGTACATGGGCCTCTCACTGTTGTGGCCTCTCCCGTTGCGGAGCACAGGCTCCGGACGTGCAGACTCAGCCGCTCCGCGGCATGTAGGATCTTCCCGGACCGGGCCACGAACCCGTGTCCCCTGCATCGGCAGGTGGACTCTCAACCACTCCACCACCAGGGAAGCTCTGCCGTGGTTTATTCATCATGGATTATGAACACCTGGTCTGTGTCGTCATTCAATTAAAATCCATCATGTGCATGATTTCCATAATTAAACTAGTGGAGTAAACGAGGAATCATAACTCTGCTGCGTTTATTTCAGAAATAATCAGCTGTAGATTTTTCAAGAATGTACTGAGAACAAGAGTGGGAATTTGAGGGCCTGGGTGATTGAGTGAGATTACAAACTGAGAATAAGGTGATAGGACAATGAATTGCTAAAAGAACGGGTAGAAGGAGTGATTATGGTAGTTTCGGTCAAAGGTTTAGGTAGATAGAACAAAGAATGCATTTAGGACCTAGAAGTCTGAGGAAAGGTGGGGCTGGCTAAGTAAGTACAGAGCAGGCCCTATCTGAATGGCATTTGTGAAGCCATTCACCCCACCACCAAAAGGGGATAAAAAACAAGACGGAGTTTCTGTTCAAAAGGATTATAAACTGTGGACAACCTTAAAAATCACGTGCCTGAGACTTGCCAGTTTAAGAAAAGAAAAAATAAAGCTTTGAAATATATTGCCAAATTATTAGTCTTTAACTTGCATGAGTTTGCAGCCTGCACAGCTAGCATCCATATCTGGTTCCTGAAACCCTTGGAGTGTATCAGCTTTAGGTGTTAAGATTCAGACTCGGGATTTAACTTTTTTTTTCTAGGCTTTTGTTGATGATCCCGTGGAAACAAAAATGACTTTGCTTGGTTTGGCAGAAATGCAAGAAAGACAAACTGTTTGGGGAAGAGGGAACCTGTTCCAATCCCTGTCCCAAGGTCTTTTCAAAATGTGTGCATCAGCCTGTCATATGTAATGCCTAAGTCTTGTTATTTAGTTTGGCTACAAAGCATCTGGGAAGCATGCTTTAATCGTTCTGATGCTAACATTGTTACAAGGCAATGTTAAATCATTTTGAAGTGATAGTGCTTCAGGTTAGTCACTATTTTTGCAGCTGTTTTTCCTTGTCAAATTTGTTTGAAACTAAAACCAATAGAATTAATTATGGTAAAAGAAAATAAAGCAAATGATGACCTCAACTTTATTTTTCTCACTGTTTGCACAGAGACGCAAGATTCTTAAATGTCGTCCTCTTCCCGTTAGCACTGCCATGATTCAGGGACTCACCACGTTTCAGAAACTTCTGGGGAGCCTCTCTGCCCCCATCTTTCCTGATTCTCATCCATCCTGAACACTGCAGCCAGACTTATTTTTGTAATACTCAGCTATAGTCTCTGTCACTTTTCCTGCACAAAATACTTTAGTGGCTTTCAGTTACCTACATAATACCGGACCTCCGCAGCCTGCCATCTTATGCCCTAATTACCTGGAGGCATCCTCACTTCTCACTGCCCCTGCCTCTTCTCTCTGTTCCAGCATACTGAACTACTGCAATTCCCCAAATTTATTAAAGTGCTTGATTTGTCTCAGACTCTGAGATACGTGCTGGGGTTTCCAAGATAAGTAAGGCCTGGTCTTGGCCCTGAAGGAACTCATACCCCATAGTAGGAGATAGCATTAAACATGCAGTACGTAAGTATAATATACGATGGTGTGTACCCTTGTACATTCTAGCACTCTTCTGCTTGGAATAAACTTTTCTTTATGTTTTTCCTGTAAAAATTCTGTCTGTCCTTCAAGACTGTTCACAAGTATCACCTCCTTTTGTAAGGCGATGCACAATTAATTACTTGAAAGATTTGTTAACATTTTGTATACACTTGTATTATAATTTATTGTGCTTATGTTGTATTGTCTATGCATATGTTGTACTGTCTGTGCATATCTATTTGCACAGGGATCTGTGAGCTCCTTGATGGTAGGACTCAGCCATTCCACGACCTTAAGCAGCATGTTCAATACTTAACACGTACTAGAAGCTTATAAATATTTGTGGACAGAGTAGCTTTTTAATGTTATTCAAATATTATTTAAAAAAACATAGAGCTGTTCTAATCTTCATAAGTCAGATTTAATGGAAGATGAGATAATACTCTTTAATAGAACTCATTTGGCCCAAACCGGAGTTTAATATTCAAAGTAACAGTTAATGTTTTTTGAACTTTTCCTATTTTCAAGGCATTGTTCTAAGAACTTTATATAAATTACCTCCTTTAATCATCATGAGAATTACTTTATAGATGAGAAAACCAAGGCACAGAGAGTTTAAATTTGTTGTCCTCGATCACACAGCCAGAGTTGCAAAACTAGGATATGATGCAGCTGATCTGGGCCTAAAGCTCACACTCTTGCTTATTAGGCTTAGCCATGTTTCATTTTGTAATTAACATTGCAATGCATAGTTCAAAATAGTTGACTATAATCTATGGACACTTGAAATAGTATGGATTTATAACCTAAAACCTACTTTCCTCTATTAGTTGGGTCAAGATATCCTCTTGGAAATCCCTTTACATACTTCCATTTTGCCCATTTCATTCTTAGTTAAACAAGGCGAAATCCCATGGAAGATACAGAATTGCCTGATTGAATAAAGGTTTGTGTGAAATGTTTTCACTTTTTAAGGCTTTAGATCGTATCTGTCTTGTCTGTTCTCTTGGTTCCATTCTTTTCCCTTCTGTTCTACTTTGCAATCAATATGGAATATTTACTGGATATCAGCCCTGCAAAAATAGGCTTATTACTACATTTGAAGATGCTAAAATATATTATCCCATTGTGTCTTTGGTCTGAAAAACGCTTAATGTTTTATTTAACTTTAGTAGAAAAATAATTCGTGTAGAGTTAAGACTTCGATCCAGGGTGCACAAAGCATGATTCATAAATATTAATAAGACATTTATGTTTGGTAAAGCCACACTCACTTGAGAATTCAAATAGTATCGTGTCTTCTTCAGCATATGACCTTTTAGTTTGTCAAAACTAAGACAAAAAATCTATCTCAGTGACTAAAAGAAGTAACATTTAATCATTGTAAATTAGAAAAGTAGAGTGACAGGAATTCTCAAAAACATCAAATAGTAATAAAGCCCACAGTTGATGGATAGAATATATAGGCTTTAAATTTAAGGGACTCAGATATCCATTTTACAGAGATTGAAAACTGCCATTACACATTTTGGAAGCATCTTGATGCCTGTTTCTAAGACATCGTCTCTTTTTACTTTTCTCATTAATTGATAATGAATTGCTTGAACATAATGATTTAGTTTTAAAGTCCAGTAACATAATGGACTTTAATAAAAGTGATGAGTGATATTATTATCTTATTGGTATTTAATAGTCTAGGGTTGTAGAAAATGTGAGGGTATGTTTTGTACTTGGGGTGAAACATATTGAAAAGATTTGGGCTCCTGTAAACTCAGACCTAAATTTATTTATTTATTTTGTTTGGTTTTATTTTTGGTTTTTGGTTTTTTTGGTCATGCCACATGGCTTGCGGGATCTTAGTTCCTTGACCAGAGATTGAACCTGTGCCCTCAGCAGTGGGAGCGTGGAGTCCTAACCACTAACCCTCAGACCTAAATTTAAATAGGAATCTGTTCGTATCACAATTATAACCGAAACAAAGAATTAGGCCCGGTAACAAACCAAAGATAAATGGAGACTGGGATTGAGGTTATATTATCAGCTTTGCCACCATAATTTTGTGACTTTAGGGCATGTGGCTTCATCTTGATGGAATTAAACACCTCCATTTATGACATCATGAATTTGCATTAATTGATTTTTAAGGTCCCTTCTTGCTTTATAATTCTGATTCCATCACTGGTTCAGGATCACATCTCCTTCAGAATCCATTGCTTCTTTGTTTACGTCTTGCTGTATATGTGAAATAGGCATCGTGTAATCTTCCAGACATGGGGTCAATCTGAACACTATCAAAAGTAGAAGGGGAAAAAAAATGCCTGAGATTTATCACACACTTAGTTTGCTGCTTACTTTGCATACATTGATAATTTGATCAGTTTGCAAATCTTACTGTAGTTGGTAGATGCTTTAATTTATAACTTAAGAAGGCAGGGACTTCCCTGGTGGCGCAGTGGTTAAGACTCCGCCTGCCAATGCAGGAGGCACAGGTTCGAACCCTGGTCCGGGAAGATCCCACGTTCCGTGGGGCAACTAAGCCCGTGTACCACGACTACCTGGACACCGCAATGAAGAGTAGCCCCCGCTCACCTGCCGCAACTAGAGAAAGCCCATGTGCAGCAATGAAGACCCAATGCAGCCAAAAATAGATAAATAGATTTACTTTAAAATAGGTATTTAAAAAAAAGGTAAAACAGCGTTGTGAGAAATTTTGCATTTATTGCTTTTGTGTTAACATGTTTTATATTCATTTTTGATAATAAGATAAACATGTCAATAAAATACAAATATAAGTTCTATCTCTTGCTAAATGAGTATGTGCTAAAAACTGTATATTGTTTTCATATATCTAAATTGGAGCTTTCATGCTGTGTATATGCATTTACAAAGTGGAACAGTGTGTGTATGGAGGCAAATAAAGATTTTGCTTATTCAGAATTTTTTCTTTGTTTTTATCCTTCTTTTACTTCCCCGTAGACTTGCTGCTTTCAAATAGCTGTATTCCCTTTTTGGGCTCATCAGAAGGACTGGATTTCCAAACCACTTTGTTAGATGAGGAGAGGGGCAGGCTGCTGCTGGGAGCCAAGGACCACATCTTCCTGCTCAGTCTGGTTGACATAAACAAAAATTTTAAGAAGGTCAGTTTATTTCTATATAGTTTACTGAATGCATTTATTTTCATCTATGCCCTTTTCCTTCGCTTTTGTTTTGTTTTAAGTGATTCAGTGTCAAATGCAGTAGGTCATTTACATGTCAAAAAAGAACATGTTAAAAGAACTTATTGCCTCTGATACATGTTTTTGGATTTTTATGGATTTAAGTACAAGAGTGAGTGTAATACTAAAACCTTTGAAAATCTGAATGAAAGGCATGAAAAGTTAGTAATGGATACTACTTTACATAACAGAAATGCAAAGTTTTGGATTTAAAAGCTGGAAAATGAGTTATTCATGAAATATTAACATTTATATCTATAGCAATTGTAAAATTAAATTTTTATTAATTTTCAATGAATAAGCATACTTAACGATAGTGTGGCTCTGGTAGCATTTTAGCACCACACTGTTTTCTCCACACTCTCTTTTTATATCTGAGCAAGTTTCTTCTATGGCTTAGTCACATTCAGGTAGGGAAGATGAATAATGCCTCACTTGTGGGCTCATTAAGAACAATCTTAGCACTTAAAAGAAATATATACTAGTTATTCAAAACCCAAAAAGCAATTGCTGTTGTATCCTACATTTTCAACTAGCACTGTGATACCCAAAGAAAAGACTGTCACACTGTTTTATCAATTATTGTTAGCCAGTAATTTAGTAAATATCAATATCTATGCAAACAAAAATGGATACCAAGACTAGAAGAGTTGAATGACTGATGAGAAGACATAATATATGACCTATTCTGCATCTATGAGGTATCTTTGATTGTTTTTCTTTCTCTTCTTTGCCAGAAGAAATACTGCTGCAAAAGAAATATAAGGAGCCATTTCAAGATTTCAGGTCAATAGTTCCCAACACTGAGTTTTTAGAGACTTCTTCCTATTCAGAGTTATGTGTAGGTCATTCTTGGACTTTGAAGCTTCATACGGCTTTCACTTACAATGACCACTTTAACTTAACCCTCTAATTTTGAGTTAGTAAAATAAATATCAGTTGTTCAGTTATTTGAATTATATCAGCACTCAGGGCTTCAGTCTACATAGGCAAAATATTTGTCACCATATGTGTTACTATCACTTAATGAACACATGCATTAGAAACAATGTTTTTGCTCTTCTAATCACTTAATTTTTAAATAGTACTTCCACACATTTTTGAGGTCCACCAAAGGAAAAGGAATAATGTTTTATGAATGCTCAGGTATGATAAAGAAATAATCTTTGAATGCAAATGTATGTGCATGCATTCCATGTAATCTGTGTTTCTAGAAGAAGAATGAGGGCTAAAATATTTCCAATAGTTGTTCTTGACTTGTGTTATTCCAAACACACAAACTCATAAGGTTATCTTATTTGTTTTGGAATTATTCCGCAGCCTAGATATTGTTTACAGTAAGGTGGAATAAACGGCTGATTATGTGCTAGAATTTGAAAAACTTGTCCTTTCATTCTGCTATTACAGCTCCATTCCATTCTTTTTTTTTTAAACATCGTTATTGGAGTATAATTGCTTTACAATGGTGTGTTAGTTTCTGCCTTATAACAAAGTGAATCAGTTATACCTATACATATGTTCCCATGTCTCTTCCCTCTTGTGTCTCCCGCCCTCCCACCCTCCCTATCCGACCCCTCTAGGTGGTCACAAAGCACCCAGCTGATCTCCCTGTGCTATGCAGCTGCTTCCCACTATCTATTTTATGTTTGGTAGTGTATATATGTCCATGCCACTCTCTGACTTTGTCACAGCTTACCCTTCCCCTTCCCCATATCCTCAAGTCCATTCTCTAGTAGGTCTGTGTCTTTATTCCCGTCTTGCCCCTAGGTTCTTCATAAACTTTTTTTTTTTCTTAGATTCCATAAATATGTGTTAGCATACGGTATTTGTTTTTCTCTTTCTGACTTACTTCACTCTGTATGACGGACTCTAGGTCCATCCACCTCACTACAAATAACTCAATTTTGTTTCTTTTTATGGCTGAGTAATATTCCATTGTATATATGTGCCACATCTTCTTTATCCATTCATCTGTCGATGGACACTTAGGTTGCTTCCATGTCCTGGCTATTGTAAATAGAGCTGCAATGAACATTGTGGTACATGACTCTTTTTGAATTATGGTTTTCTCAGGGTATATGCCCAGTACTGGGATTGCTGGGTCGTATGGTAATTTGTTCAGTTTTTTAAGGAACCACCATACTGTTCTCCATAGTGGCTGTATCAATTTACATTCCCACCAACAGTGGAAGAGGGTTCCCTTTTCTCCATACCCTCTCCAGCATTTACGGTTTGTAGATTTTTTGATGATGGCTATTCTGACTGGTGTGAGATGATATCTCATTGTAGTTTTGATTTGCATTTCTCTAATGATTAATGATGTTGAGCATTCTTTCATGTGTTTGTTGGCAATCTGTATATCTGCTTTGGAGAAAAGTCTATTTAGATCTTCTGCCTATTTTTGGATTGGGTTGTTTTTTTTTTTTTTGATATTGAGCTGCATGAGCTGCCTGTAAATTTTGGAGATAAATCCTTGGTCAGTTGCTTCATTTGCAAATATTTTCTCCCATTCTGACGGTTGTCTTTTGGTCTTGTTTATGGTTTCCTTTGCTGTGCAAAAGCTTTGAAGTTTCATTAGGTCCCATTTGTTTATTTTTGATTTTATTTCCATTTCTCAAGGACATGGGTCAAAAAGGATCTTGCTGTGATTTATGTCATAGAATGTTCTGCCTATGTCTTCCTCTAAGAGTTTGATAGTGTCTGGCCTTACATTTAGGTCTTTAATCCATTTTGAGTTCACTTTTGTGTATGGTGTTAGGGAGTGTTCTAATTTCAATCTTTTACATGTAGCTGCCCAGTTTTCCCAGCACCACTTATTGAAGAGGCTGTCTTTTCTCCACTGAATATCCTTGCCTCCTTCATCAAAGATAAGGTGACCATATGTGCGTAGGTTTATCTCTGGGCTTTCTATCCTGTTCCATTGATCTATATTTCTGTTTTTGTGCAGTACCATACTGTCTTGATTACTGTAGCTTTGTAGTATAGTCTGAAGTCGGGGAGCCTGATTCCTCCAGCTCCGTTTTTCGTTCTCAAGATTGCTTTGGCTATTCGGAGTCTTCTGTGTTTCCATACAAATTATGAAATTTTTTGTTCTAGTTCTGTGAAAATTGCCATTGGTAGTTTGGTAGGGATTGCATTGAATCTGTAGATTGCTTTGGGTAGTAGAGTCATTTTCACAATATTGATTCTTCCAATCCAAGAACATGGTATATCTCTCCATCTATTTGTATCATCTTTAATTTCTTTCATCAGTGTCTTATAATTTTCTGCATACAGGTGTTTTGTCTCCTTCATTAGGTTTGTTCCTAGATATTTTATTCTTTGTGTTGCAATTGTAAATGGGAGTGTTTTCTTAATTACACTTTCAGATTTTTCATCATTAGTGTATAGGAACGCCAGAGAGTTCTGTGCATTAATTTTGTATCCTGCTACTTTACCAAATTCATTGATTAGCTCTGGTAGTTTTCTGGTAGCATCTTTAGGATTCTCTATGTACAGTATCATGTCATCTGCAAACAGTGACAGCTTTACTTCTTCTTTTCCGATTTGGATTCCTTTTATTTCTGTTTCTTCTCTGATTCGTGTGGCTAAAATTTCCAAAACAATGTTGAGTAATAGTGGTGAGAGTGGGCAACCTTGTCTTTTTCCTGACCTTAGTGGAAAGGGTTTCAGTTTTTCACCATTGAGAACGATGTTGGCTGTGGGTTTGTCATATATGGCCTTTATCATGTTGAGGAAAGTTCCCTCTATGCTTACTTTCTGGAGGGTTTTTATCATAAATGGGTGTTGAATTTTGTTGAAAGCTTTCTCTGCATCGATTGAGATGATCGTATATAGTTTTTCTCCTTCAATTTGTTAATATGGTGTATCACATTGATTGATTGGCGTATACTGAAGAATCCTTGCATTCCTGGGATAAACCCCACTTGATCATGGTGTATGATCCTTTAATGTGCTGTTGGATTCTGTTTGCTAGTATTTTGTTGAGGAGTTTTGAATCTATGTTCATCAGTGATATTGGCCTGTAGTTTTCTTTCTTTGTGACATCTTTGTCTGGTTTTGGTATCAGGGTGATGGTGGCCTCGTAGAATGAGTTTGGGAGTGTTCCTCCCTCTGCTATATTTTGGAAGAGTTTGAGAAGAGTGGGTATTATCTCTTCTCTAAATGTTTGATAGAATTCGCCTGTGAAGCCATCTGATCCTGGGCTTTTGTTTGTTGCAAGATTTTTAATCACAGTTTCAATTTCAGTGCTTGTGATTGGTCTGTTCATATTTTCTATTTCTTCCTGATTCAGCCTTGGCAGGTTGTGCATTTCTAAGAATTTGTCCATTTCTTCCAGGTTGTCCATTTTATTGGCATAGAGTTGCTTGTAGTAATCTCTCATGATCCTTTGTATTTCTGCAGTGTCAGTTGTTACTTCTGCTTTTTCATTTCTAATTCTATTGATTTGAGTCTTCTGCCTTTTTTTCTTGTTGAGTCTGGCTAATGGTTTATCAATTTTGTTTATCTTCTCAAAGAACCAGCTTTTAGATTTATTGATCTTTGCTGTCGTTTCCTTTATTTCTTTTTCATTTATTTCTGATCTGATCTTTATGATTTCTTTCCTTCTGCTAACTTTGGGGATTTTTGTTCTTCTTTCTCTAATTGCTTTAGGTGTAAGGTTAGGTTGTTTGAGATGTTTCTTGTTTCTTAAGGTAGGATTGTATTGCTATAAACGTCCCTCTTAAAAGTGCTTTTGCTGCATCCCATAAGTTGTGGGTTGTCGTGTTTTCATTGTCATTTGTTTCTAGGTATTTTTTGATTTCCTCTTTGATTTCTTCAGTGATCTCTTGGTTATTAAGTAGTATATTGTTTAGCCTCCATGTGTTTGTATTTTTTACAGATTTTATCCTGTAATCGAAATCTACTCTCATAGCCTTGTG